CATACATACATACATACCTACATGCGCCAGGACTGCAAGTGACCAACAACGAGTCCTCTGAGCTCATGGCGAATGCGGAGATCCGGGCTTTGTAGGCCTTCGAGGCATCTTTGCTCAAGGCGGAACAGCTGGGTATCTTCGGGGTGCGACTCTCGTTTCATGTGGCTTCGACGTACATGGGATACTGCAGCCTGGCCAAATAGGTGGCCCCCNNTAGTCGCTCTGATTCAGCAGCAACAGGGCTAGCAAAGCAGCTGCTTCTCCATGGCGAGGAAAAGTTTAGGAAGCTATCCTGGTCGGCGAAAGTCGACCGAGCAAATCTCGTCGACTTGGCCATCTGTACATCATTCGTGGCCAGGAGGGTAGCTGTCAGCCGTTTACATGTTGCGACATTCACGCCGGCTCATGCCTTCAACTGAAAGGGCGAGTGGCAGCCAGGCCTTCATCCGCAGCTGCAGCCAGCCTCCGTGCACAACCTTCTGAGAAGCCTCCGAGCCTGGAGATTGGCTGGGCTTTGGGCTTTGTAACCCCGAAACTTTAAACCCAAAAGATGGACTTCGGTAGGGGTCCCGCTTTGGGGGGTCCTTAGAATCAGAGTCTTACGATCTACATTTACAGGTCTGTATTTTTTCACCAAAAAAAGACCGTAGGAAGAGCCCCTGTTTCTCTCAGCTCCCATACTTCGGGCTTTGGGCTTAGGGTTGAGAGTTCAGGGTTTAGGGCCACTTACAGATTGCATCTGCGATTATGATCCTCGAATACCGCACACCTCTTGACATCCTAGGCCAACTGCACATATGCACAGACAAACGGAATCGACGATGCTTTGCACCCTCGGGATGGAGGGTTCAGGCTTTGTACCTTTTTTTGTGCTGTGACAGGTGGTGGTATTTCCGGATGTCGGGTCTGTCTGCAGACTGGCTAGCCGATACACTGACTGGCTCGGCAGGCCGCACTACTTCTGAAGTCGGCCGGCTGAGTTACTAACACGACGAGGATACCCTTAGGCCAGAAGCGAGTGGTGTCGGGTTTGGATTCGCCCACGCTGTCGGCACAACCGGCGCAAACCATGACTTCAGGCCGTCGATTGGGTATGGGCTACGCTCTTGACTACTCTTGCAGAACTTGTCTGAAGCTGCTGCTCAAAACCCAGAAACCAAAGTCTTAACTCGCTTTGGTGGGACTGTGCAGCCAAGCTTCGACAAAAGCTCCCTTACACAAGCACCGAAGCGTACAAACGAGATGCCTGAGATCCAGGCTGAGGTACCCTGACTCCACGATCTTCGAAGAGATCGTCAGCAACCAGGCCGGGCGCGAGGAGGTGTTGTTCTGGATGATCTGGGAGGCAGACTTACGTTACCGACCGTTCGCACTGAACGGCTGAGGGTACAGTGAGTTTATGTGAGTAGAAGTGGCTGCCTCGCCGAAACAGTTTTGAAGTTGCCGCATACGGCATAGGAGGTACTGCCAGTGAGTGGTCCTAGTTGGTCTTAGTTCGTGCCAGTGCTCCTGGGTCCTAGTTATAGTTCTATGTACTTGAAGAATTAGAATAGCCCTGTCAATTCATGAAATGGTCAGGGCATGAATGCCAACATAGAGTCATCGAGACTAACTCTACTAGGAATGTCAAGGTGGTGCTGTGACTGCTTTTGGGAAGCAATGACTAAAGCACAGGTCGTTCCGTGGAAGAGGAATGCCAGGGCCCACGCGCGGACACAGTAGCCTTCAGTCCTTCGGACAACGGGTGAAGAGTCTCGAAATTCATCTGGAGGTGTCGCGACGTGAAGACCTCTCACCGAGGCTTCGACTGACCGCCGGTAGCACCAAAGAAGGTGTAGCGAGATGCCTGAGAGTTGCGAAACCGCGAACTTCTGTTAGGGTGAGGTGCACTTTGCCGTCTCATGCATTCACCATTGCACTTTTTGCGGCAGGGGGCCCTCCGACACTAAGACTAGCCGCAGCCTACTGGCCCTCGACATGATGCCCATAAGCCGTATCTGCAGACTGTCTGAGCATCAGCGATCCGAAATCAGAAAATCCAAGGCTGAAGCCCGCAGGCAAAGGACGACTTGCCTAGGCGTGGGCACCTTGCAGCTTCAGGTTCTGACAGTCGCATGTCGCTGCTGCTCTTGGCACTGTCCGGGCAGTGAGCGTGTGCACGCATTGAGAAGTCGAAAGAATTGCGTGCAGACAGCACATGCAAGCAGCAGTCAAGTCATGGAGTAGACTCTTGCACACAGTGACAGCTACGGATGGATGTCCGTGCTGGCCGACGGTAGAAGACAGTGTTCTGATCAGGAGCTTTCCTCCGTCTATTTTTTTCCCACCCGCCCAGCTGACAAGTCGCACCGCAGGGATGACTTTAGAGTTCGAACTCCGGAGAAAAGACTGCGTGGGCCTCCAAGGAAAATGCAGTCTCCCTAGTGACAAGACAAACACAACTATCAACCGTAGGCAAGTGGGAGACTACATCGTCGTCGGTAGCCCTGTTCCTA